GAGAGTGGCCACACCTTAATGGAACAATAGCTGGGTTGTGTGGATCAGAGTTAATCCTGCCTTGGAGTAGCATAATTCCGAGCTGTATAACGAGTGCTTAAAACTACTTTAAGTTGTTACTGTGCGAACACAGTCCAGGGGTTAAGAGCTCCAGGAGCTGCCCAAAATAACTGTGTAACAAGGCGCTTAGATAAATAATTCTTGAATTATTTCACACATATAACTTATTCAAGTCAATGTAAGCTCTGCTTGCATCAAGACTATAGGATCTAATCATAAAGGCAGAAGTTTTGTTGCAAACATGGGTAGTAAGACTGATAATTAGAAGTTTGTACACATTTTCCTTATCATTATCCATGTAATTACTACTTTCTCAAAGTATAAGGCTCCATTTCATACCTAGCAGCTTCAGTAAGATATAATTACACATTCAGTGGTATACAATCAATCTCCTGGCAGCCACAAGAAACATCACAAGGAAGTCGAAAATCACACACAAGTGACACAAATCACAAGCCATCACAAAAAACAAACTACAGGTTGTAGCATATACCTGCTTATGGCCATGGATTCAACCAGAATACCTAATAATTTGCTTATGAAGTAATCATAAAATGGATCTCTAATGATTTAGAGTACTTTTAAGTGTATTCCCCACCATGCCTGAGGACAACATATGTGCAATATGGGTCTAGTCCTGAGGTCTTCATAGCTCCCTCAACTCGCCTCAGTTTCAGGGCACTCCTCACCAACAGAAGGTGTTGAGTGCCATTCAGGACTCACATCTTTAATAGCAAAGTGAGGCTTTCTAAGGAATTACACAAACCAGATCTACGTAGATGTTAAACTACAGAGCTCCATGCAAAGGAAAACTCAAGTTCTTCGAACTGTGCTTAGCTTTGCTTTCACGGTATAGGCAAAATAGACTTACTGCAGGCAAAAGTATTAGAGCTAAATGTCCCTCTCTTTCTCATTTCCCTGCTGGATTTATTCTGTCTGCAGAAAGCGTGCCATAAATGTATTAGAAAGAGCTGCCTGCTGAGGCACAATGGTGTAGGGTGCTAAATACTTCCTGGGGCATGCAAGTACTTTCAATAAAACTAATGAGAACTGAGAAACATTAGAGCTTCTCAGAAACATACATGATCAGTTCTTGAAATTATGATGTCTGTCCCCAACACAAAAAAAGATTCTGCTTGAATGTAATCTGTTTTTCCAGCCATGCATCCCCAACCATTTCCTTTTCTCAAGGTCTCCAGAATCCAGGGGGTGCAATTAAAATCAAAAAGGACATTTTTTCCCTCTTAGTGCCAACAAATTCTCCCACTTCCCAGGGTCATTTTTCTTTCCTTCTGTTTTGGCAGGCTACTCTTCTTTCATATTTCATAACCACAACTGTACAATAGTAGTGCATAGCTACAGCAGTTTCTGATTGTAAAACATTACCCAAAGCATTTACTATATCCAGCTCTGATGTGTTATGCATTTCCTGTTACCTAATTGCTTCACAAACCCTTGCAGTGACTGGTGAACTGCTTTGCTTGCTGTGAGTCTTATGTAGGAATAGATATACTGCACTACAAGTTACTTAGCAAAGTAACAGCCAGGGCTGCTGTTCTGAAGCACTGCCCCCAAATCAAAATTCCTCACTTAAAGTGTTTGGACAGAACCCATCTACATAAATAAGTTATTATTACAAATTAAAAATATTAAACTAATGATGTGTATAACTGCAAGTTATAGAGTTGGAAAAGAAGTTTTAATTAAATCAGTGTGGTTATTAGTCTCTTGTCACTGTTGATTAATTATTAGCTCAAAAAGCTTCATCACTTTCATTTGTAACAGAAATAGCTACAGAATTACCACGAGCAGAAATATAATAAATATAATAAAGCTATAGACTTGCTCTGGGGATCCCTTCTACAGGAAAAGCCCACAGGAGAAACAGGGAAATGTTTCAACAGTTTAAATTTGAGGGATGAAATCCTGGCTGTGCTGAACTCCGTGGCTTTTGAGGGCTCTGGCTTTCACTCTGGAAGGTTTGATGGTTTCATCCTCATCTGAGGTAAGGATTTGTTTCCCTTTGCTCAGGCTGGGCATCTGACTTGCCAGAATGTCTGGACTGCTCATGCCCAATGTCTCCAAGTGTGAGCACAGCTCCTTTAGAAGCTATTTTGCCAATGCCTTCCTTCCCTTATCCTAACCCTAATTGCCATGCCACTACAAAACATTTATTTCCACATGTAAAGCAATACTAACATCTGATAGTAAGGCTGTGCACTGGGTTTGTGGGGCCGTGGCATAAACAATGGCATTTGTCTCTTGTGACCTTTCCTCTTTGTGCCACTAGTGGAGCCCATGGTTTAGAGAGGACTTTTGAAGATTCAGTAGCATAGGGGCACTGAGGACCCATAAACTCAATCCCAGCATCAATCCACCCACTTGTGTAGCTTTCTGCCCTCATTTTCTTGCTCCCCGCTTTATTTGAATACTAGAGAAGTGACCATCAAGAATGACAGGGGTGGGGGAGTGGGTGGGGATGGAGCGCTGCTGCCCACCACCCCTTGCCACTGCTGCCACATCCCAGAAGCAAGGTGGGGGAGCTTGCCCTGTCATCCCCTCCATCCCCCTCCACCAGCACCTCACACCGCTGCCATCTCCAAGGAGCAGGGCAGACGGAGGGGGGGCATGTGGCCCCCCGGGCCGGCCCTGCCCCCCCCCCCCCCCCCCCCCCTCCACTCTGTTTCCTCCATCATGGCAGCACTCTGTCTGTCTGTGTGTCTGTCTGTGCGGAGCACTCCATTTGGTTGTTTCAGACAACCAATCAGAGTGCTCCAAGAGCGTTATGGACAGATAGATAGATAGACTAAGCCATTTATATATATAGAATTACCTTATGAGCCTTCCTCCAAGCCAATGTGCCTTGAAGAGAGCAAGAAATGGCACTGAAGTTATGTTTGAGTAAAGACTCAATAGAAACTTCAAAAAAGATGCGTGCAAGGGTCATTTCTTCAGTGGGAGCTAAGGTTGTTATACATCTAAGTAGGAGAGGCATCTTGTACTGTAGCCTAGAGCTCAGCAGTATTATTACAAAGGGGCTGTATTTTACAAACATCCAAAAGACACTTTTTGGATGGCTTGTCATTAGAAATGCAGTGACCTGCTTGTAAGAACAAAACTGTTTCCTGCTCATATTGATGAAGCTTGGTACATTCAGTTCATGGTGCTAATGGGTGATTCAGTAAATTAAATGGAGAATGTCACTGTAAAATATGATTTTGTGAAGATAAAAAGCAACTCAATTTCTCAGGGCTCTTTCAGCCTATCACTGTGATTGCCTTCTGATAAATTGCCACCTGCCCCATGAGTAATAGTATATCCTTTTTAGTGTAATTTTAGCATTGAGTCCTTATATTGATTTCTGTTAATGTACTTTGATAACACTTTAGCTTCCTATGTTCCACCTGAATTTTTTTCATTTCAGAGTGCTCTTTCTATTTTGACATGAAACTATTATCTTTTTTTCTGCTACAAGTAAGCAGACATAGGGCACCTAATGCACAGCAAAAAAGTAATATTTTGATATAAAGCCCAGCTGTTTTCTGTCAGGCTGGCTTCCTTAAGTGTATTTTTTTTGCATCCTGAGACACTCTGGCTGGTCTGTGATTTGATGAGCACACCGAATTACTTTTAGAAATGGGCTGAACTCCAGTTAAATATTTGGCTGTTTAATAAGTAGACTTTAAGATAATGGTCTTCATGAGAATCCAAAAAAAGGGAGTAAAGAAAAGGGCTCCCCATGCTATTTTTAGCTGCAAACAGCTAGATTTGGCATTTTGATTGTAAAACATGGAATTTATAAATGGTGCCATTCTAAATTTACTTCATTTGTATACAACTCACCAGCATAATCAAGAGTGTTACAGCATGTTCCTGCTTTGCAGCTCAGTTCTGAATTTTATAGCCACTAAAGTACAAGAAAAATGTGTTCTGTAAACAGTTTTTGTGTCATTTGTTTTTCAATTTCTGGAGTGCATAGGGATTTTATATATAATTCTGCATGTGCACACACATGCACGCACACATTCACACACGCACACAAGAGTGCACAGGGATTTTATATATAACTGTGCATGTGCACGCATGTGCACACACACACACACAGAGTGCATGGGGATTTTATATATAACTGTGCATGTGTATGCGCGCGCGCACACACACACACACACACACACACACACACACACACACACACACAGGGCAATGATTTATTTCTAAAGAGAAGCCAAGGAAATTCCCACCCCCTACCATCTAAATGATCTACTGTTTGGCTCTAAATGTTCAGTAGCTTCTCAGCCAAGGAATGTATTTTCACTTTCCAATATATATAATTTGTTTTGTTGCACTCCTTTAGTCAATGATATTATGATGCACTATTTATATAATTTTACATGAAATCACTGACCAGCACAGAGACCATTTTATACATAGATATGATAAACACACTGGATTTTAAAAAAATGTCTCTGAATGTCTTTGCTTCTATAATGTGAATTCACCAAGGTAATTTTTGTTTGCTTCTTCGTTCTCACTGTTCTTTCGAGGTCTTTTGTGCTCAGGTGAGTTTCCTAAGAACGGGCAGATGAGCTTTTAGCTGATATATTTAGGCAGCGACAGCTCATCCGGCTTTATGTTTTAGAAGAGAATGGAGACAGCTATTTTTTTTCCCCTTCACAAGTCGTTTACTGAGCAGAAAATCAGTCCTGGATTTTTTAAAACTCCAGAACCCATTAAATAAAATCCCTAGCAATGCATTCCTGAATCCAGGACTTGGGAGATGTGGGGAGAGGAAAGACAACCCTCCAATAACCTGTCTCCCCTTCCCAATGACCAGACTAGAATGAAATCACTTTTTTCTCCTAGTGACATACTCCAGATCTGAGACTTTGTATTTTTTTTTTTGTTTTTTGCATCTTTCCCCATGGCTAGAAAACACTTACGTGGTCCCCAGGATGCGTCAGGGGGGATTGTGTGCAGATCAATCTCATCCTGATCCATCTCTTATCCAAGCCGGGAAAGCTCAGCTGCAACTTGGGACCACAGAGAACGCTTCAACTCGCCAGGCTCCTTCCTCTCTCTAGGGCTCCCTCGGGCTTTCATTCAGTGGGCACAAGCAGCCAACCAGTAATCCTACTACTCTTCCTGCTACCACTAATAATGATACCAGGGTCCCTGCAACGGAAGGCAGCCAACTTCTTTTAAAGCCAGAGAGAGGGTGGGGGAAAAAAGAACCCGGGGAAATTCCCAACCTGATGTTCAGGAAAGCAGCAGCTTAAAGCGCTCCTCACGGGGGGGGGGCCTGCAGGGAGTCACAGGGCGACTTGCCAGCGGTCCCCGCCGCTGCCTGAGGAAACCCCCCTGCCCAGGCAGACGGGGGAGGCTGAGGCAGCGCGCTGCTCCGGGAGCCCGCCTCGCACTCGCCGCTGCCGCCTTTGCCGGAGGAGGCTAAGGCTGTGGGAACCCGGCCCTCCACGTGACTGCCATGGGTGCAGCGCTAGCGGGAGGAGGGGGAGGCTCCCAGCCTTCCCCAAGCCCCTCTTATCTGGGCACCGCCAGGGCAAACACTGACTCAGCGGCAGCAGGAGCGCGAAGG